GTCTTTTATTTATTTATTTATTTATTTATTTATTTATTTATTTATTTATTTATCTTTGGCTGCGTTGGGTCTTTGTTCCTGCGTGCGGGCTTTCTGTAGTTGCAGCACGTGGGCTCAGTAGTTGTGGCTTGTGGGCTGTAGAGCGCAGGCTCAGTAGTTGCGGCGCACGGGCTCAGTTGCTCCGTGGCATGTGGGATCTTCCTGGACCAGGGCTCGAACCCGTGTCCCCTGCATTGGCAGGCGGATTCTTAACCACTGAGCCACCAGGGAAGTCCACGTCTGGGAAATTGTTTCCATGCTTTGCCGTACCTGGTCAGAGGGGAACAAGGTTTGAAGTGGCCATGAAGGGACACTGCTGGTCCTGTCCCACCTGGTGGCACATGATTCCCTGCCCAGGTGACATGGCGGGAGTTGCATCTGGAAATCTGAGAGCCCTGCACCCTGATTCGCCCCCACCACCGCCTTGGACTTGTGACCCAGCGGAGCTGGCGGTGGGTGGTGGACCTGGACAGGGGAGTCTCAGGCTTGTGAAGGGCTCTCGTCCAGTCTGGGTTCACACAGAAGCACGGTGACCCCACAGAGCGAGACTTGCTCGTCCTCAGTTCAGACGCTGGGATGGGGCTTCTTCTGGTTGATTAGATGAAAATAAGCTTTCAGTTGCTTCCTGGCCTAGGTGAAATTTTATAAGTACTTTTGGGGAGAATGAATCCATTCTTCTCATACATAGTTTTCTCCTGAAACCCTTAAAAGCTAGATTTTGCCTTTGCAGTTAAGAAAAGAACGATGTGGTTCAGTTGTGAAGCTGCATCATTGTTCTGTCCACTAGATAAAACATAAGGAATTTCAGGACTCTGCTGAGGAAGCAGGGTGGCCAGTCTTCAGAGCTGCCTAGTAGAGGACAGGTTGGCATTTGTGTGCTATTTTTCCAAGTAGATGGCAAAGCAACGCTTGAAATATTTGACTTGTCAGAGTCCGAGTTAAGAAAATCATTATTGGGTTTCCAGTAATTTCCAGATTTCCACTTTGAAGTTAAGATGGGTGCTTTTTAAAAAAATTGTGGTAAAATACAACAAAATTTACCATTGGTGACATTCGGTGCATTCCCAATGTTGGACAGTATCGTTGTCATGAGACTTAGTGGGAGAGGAAGATATTCCCAATGAGTGAAGTAAGTGCACACGTGACTTTTTTATTTTCCAGAAAATTTCCTCACTTGAGTTGAAGCCAGGAGCATTTCTTATTTGTTTCTGATGCCGGTTGACGGCAGTATTAGAGCTAAAAAATGTTGCGTTTCTTCTGTTCCTACGGGTGTCACTCAGGCACGGGGATTATGAGTGACTATTTGAGCTTGTAGCCCCCCAGCCTGCCCTGTGCCCTCTAGGGTTTTGGGGTCCCAGGCAAAGGTGTCTGCGTCGGCCTCTGCGCAGGGTTCTCCCGGGCCTCTGTAACTGTGGGGCTGCTTTTCCAGATGTGGAAAGCCTCGGCCGGCCACACCGTGTCCATCACCCAGGACGACGCGGGAGCCGACGACTGGGAAACCGACCCTGATTTCGTGGTACAAGTCACCAGTCTGCCTGCCTTTCACGTCTCCCGGAGTGGATTTCCCCAGGGTTTGGGTGCGGGTGGGCGGGTGGACGGGTGGGTGGTTGTCTTACAATCCAGGCCGTGGGGTGCACTCGTCATTTATTTTTCTTTTCAGAATGACGTAAGTGAAAAAGAGCAGCGATGGGGGGCCAAAACCGTCCAGGGGTCTGGGCACCAGGAGCACATCAAGTAAGAGACTTTCTCGGTATTTGTGTGACAGTGATGTTCTGAAAGATGAAGATAAGGCAGGGATAAGAGATAAGGTCATGGCTTCATATGGTGGAATTGCTTTTGTTTTGTTTTGTGACTCGATTTTTTATTTTTTGCAGCGTTATTCTTTGTATGTATGTATGTATGTTTTGGCTGCATTGGGTCTTTGTCGCTGCATGCTGTGACTCGATATTTATACAGTAGGTGAATGTAAGACCTGATGTGTACATCTACGTGTTTGTGTACGTGTATGTATACGGACGTGCTCGGTAACTTAAAAATTCCCATCGCAAATGACTTCCGTGCTTCCAATTCTAGAGTCTGTTTTTCAATATTGTGGTTTTCATCGAGGAACACAGTTACCTAAGCTCTTCTCTCTGCTGATGGGAGGTTTCTAAAGCGTGGATGTCTTTGAATACCTTAGACCATAAACACCCTTCTTTAATTTTTATTATTTTGTTATACTTTTATTATTTTATCGTCATCAGTTGGATGCCACGAGCTGAATTCTAAGCATTGTGTTCTCATAAAAGCCTCAAATAGGAGAGCTGCTTGAAGCGTGTCATTGTCTGACTCGGCGCTGTCGAAACTGGCCACCTCTGGGGCAGCTTGTTTTCCTGTCGGGAGGTGTAGATAAAGGGACCTTTTAGAATGTGCTCGGTCTGTGCCAGCTTCAGAGTGTGTGCTCCCGTGCCCTGGTTGTGAAGGTGTCCTCACGGACTGCTGACCCGCTTTGGTCACTGGCAGAGAGCTGGTCTTGCTTGGCCCTAGGATCTTTGCGGTAAAATGAAGCTGTTCTTGGCTGAGAGAGACTCAGTAGATCGTCCCGAAAAGGAGGTGAAGTCTGCAGCTCAGGCGTTTTAGACACCAGTGTTCCTCCCTCCCTGAGTCGCTGAGCCCACCCTCTCCCCACAAGCCCCTGAAGAAGGGCCTGGGACCGGCCGGAGGAGGTGGTGCCAGGGGCTGACTCGGGTCACCCGCCGTGGGGTTAGGCTGCCTTCTGACTTGATGCCATCTGGGCTTCTCATCTCTTCCGTTCCCCGTGGCTTCAGAACATGTTGGGGAGGGCGGGTTGGAGGAGAAAGGAGCTCTCTCATCAGGCAGCCTCTGGGTGGGTAGAGCTCAGAGAGCACACAGGGACAGGACGGCTGTTGGTCCTTCCGTGTTCTTGGGAGGCTGGTCTTCCTCCCGTGCTCGTCATGGGGTCGGGAGGTGGCCAGGCCTGGTTGGTTTTGTAGGCGAACTTCGGGGATTGTTGTCCAGGTGTTGAGGTGTGGACATGTTGTCCCTTGGGCAGAGAGGAACCGGATCAGGTGGCCGCCGTGTTGCTGTGGGTCTCCCGACGGAGACAGCTGCAGAGGCTTCCTGGCCTGCCCGGTTTTGGCCACATCTTGTGATCTGTCCCACTGTTCCCAGCGTTTAGAGTACAAGTGGCGCTCACATTGTAAATTCTGCAAACCCCTCACTTCACCTTTGAATGAAAAGCTGGAGTGCTCCAAGGAAAGAGCAACCGTCTAAGTGTTTTGCGTCTCTGGGCTTCTGTCCTAGGGCTGCCTGGGGTGCGGGGCTGTTGACTCTGCTTTTCCCCTCTGCCTCTGGGGACGTTTACAGAACTAGCTCTCCCAAGTCAGGTGTCTGATAAACCCTGAGGAGCTTTTCCCCTTATGGGAGAAAGTCCACATTTCAGCACAGCTCTGTGTGTGTGTGTTGGGGGGGGGGCGTTTGGGATGACTCACTGTGAATTCAGATTAGTTTCTTTTTTCTGTTAACTTGCATCTGAGAACTGCCGAAGTTGGGGGACCAGCTGGTGGAACAATAAAGCAAGCACAAGGGAGACAGGGATTGGGGAGCCACCGAGTAGTGAAACCTTGCAGATCTGCCGAGATGACACGTCCTGTCCTCGTCTGTCCCACTGGAAAACAAGGACGCCCGTCTGTCTGACCGGTTTCTTCCTGTTTGATCTCTTCCCCCCAAGCATACACAAGCTGAGAGAGAATGTGTTTCAAGAACACCAGACCCTCAAGGAGAAGGAGCTCGAAACGGGACCCAAAGCCTCACACGGCTACGGAGGGAAGTTTGGTGTGGAGCAGGACAGAATGGACAGAGTAAGTGCCCGGCCACGTCGCGGTGGGTCCTGGCGTGTCTGACCTCACCATGATCGGCAGAGTGGTCACTCAGGAGCCTCCCCCCGTAGATGAAAAGTTGGGAGTCTACTTGTTGAGGACGGATTTGCCAGAAGTAATCCTCTCTCCATTGACCTTACCCGCGAAGGGCTCCCGTTTATGGAAGGTCTTTTAAGATGCTGAGTTGCTGGGGAGTGGGTGGTGTGTCGGGAGCCCCAGAGCGGGAGATCAGGTTCTGCCAGAGGCCGCTCTGTGACCAGGATGGAGGCCTGGAAGCGGCCTGACCGCGGGTGTGGTCGCCACCCTGGCGGTTCAGCCTGCGGCCTGAATGCTACCCACCTGCAGACCGGAGCCGAGTCTGCGGGCCTTGGTTCACGTCAAGGGTGGAAATTCAGCCGCCAGGCGTGCTGTCGTCCTTCCCACATTTAGTGAACTTCAGAGAGGACCCTGGCCCCCGGCGTCATGCCACTGCCCACCAGGCTGGGGGCAGGTCCAAGTCGGTGGAGACTGAAGCTGTTAACAGTGCGGCAGCCTTTGCTGGCACTAGAGAAGGGACTGGGTCAGCTGGCGGGGCTGGTGTCCGCCCTGCAGAGAGGATGGTAGACCGTAGCGCGTTTGCAGTGAAGCAGGTCTGCAGTCTTTAGACGTCCCCAGAGAGGTAGGTTTTTCCCAGGCTGGTAATGTGAGATGTCTGCCTTTATTCTGTGCAGAGGTATCAACTGGGTTGGGTTCTGGGCTGTAATTCCACCCCTGTCCCCCTTGTGCCTGGATCGGACTCGGCATCTGAGCTGGGCCTGGGATGACGCGGCTGTGTCACAGTGTGCCATCTGGGCTGTGTCACCCCAGAGCGGATACATGGGGACCTGTGGGCACCCCAAGCCAGGTCTGAAATGAGCCTGAAGACGGAGTCTATGAAGGGCAGGCTGCAGGAGAGAGACAGGGACGCCCCCAGTGACCCCGTCACTCCCAGAGATGTCTGGACAGCACACAGGGGCGTGGGGAGCAGAAACCATCTTTGGATCCTAGAAAGTGTGGTGCCTTTTAGGAGCACAGACGGGCAAAATCCCCATGTTTTTCGGGCAATGAAAGCATCATGTAGGTAGAAGCCTTTCCCACCTAACAGAGTCCAGGCTCTCAGGGTTACGGGGAGTGAAAGCAAAGAGACGTTCAGTATAATCTGGGTCCCCAGCTCTGGGTCGGAAAAACCTGTTGGGGAGAACATTGCAGATGCACCAGGAAGCCCTGGATGAGGACAGTGAGACAGTTGTTTGGGCTGCTGCCGGACTGCCCTGTGCGGGCTGAGCCTCATCACCCCGGCACCCGCGGCCCAGGCCCCTCAGCTCCTGCAGGCTTCCTGCCGGCCCGCGGCTGCCTCTCCCCGTGCTTTGTGCTGCCCTCTGTCAGCGTCACTCCTGCGTTGTGCTGTCCTTCCTGTCGAGGCCTGGACAAGCTGTCCTCGCCTCGTGCTGGGCCTGGCACCGTGAAGGCGCTCAGTGGACGGTGCGTGAGTGCCTGGAGCCATGTGTTGACGGCACCCGGGCGGCTCAGGGAACCGAGCTCTCACTCCAGCCGGCGGTTCCCCTCAGGTGGATCCAGCGGGGGGCGCCGCGGTCGGTGGGTGCTTCCTCCCCTGCACCTCCCTGCACACCTGGCAGCTCACGGGAGTGCCACTGGACCAGCCTGTCATCAGAAATCACTAAGGTTCCAAACCGAAACAAGTAACCCTGAAGCTATTTGTCACTTGTCCTTTCCAGAAATTGAAAAGGAGCCCTGAGATCTGTGTGTTGAGACTGTGTGATAGAGACTTCCAGAAAAAAACACATCTTGGGCAGGCACCTACTCGTGAGAGGATTGTGGACTGGGAAGGTGCAGCAGCCATCGGGATCCCATGTGCGCTGTGGCCTGAGCATCTCCCACGCCTCTTTCGGGGCTCACGGGGGCCGTGGTCCATGATGCAGGTTTTGTTCCTCGCCAGGCACATGTCGGGACGAGTGTACATTCCTACTTTTGGCAGCGCTCTGCCCAGTGCTGACTGTTCGATAATAAATACTGCCTTGTCAACGTAAGGTCAAGGGCAATTTGAGGGATAAATCTGTTTTGATCAAAAAGTTGGAAAAATTAATAAGCTGTCACCCGCCATATTTTCAGAGCAGTGTCCTTAGAACTTCTTTGTGATGAAGAATCAAGTTGGGGAATCCTCTGCGTGCTGCTGCCTCCGTGTCACTCTGCTGACGTTCTCTGGGTGAGACCCAGAAGCTGCGGGTGGGCGGCCTCTGCCGCAGAGGTTTTCCGGGGCTGCGGTGCCGTGGGTCTGCTGTTAGCTACAGGCATCGGGACCAACCCGGAAAGGACAGAAAGCAACAGCTCCAAACTTTAAAGTAGAACCTACTTTGCTCCCTGGGCTGTGGAAGGAATGCACACTCTGAGTGGCCTGCAGAGTTCTCAGTTGTGGCAGTGACCCCGCAGTGGTTGAATCCCAAACCCAGCTGCTGAAGTGGTAGATGAACAGGAAGGGGGTCCACGGTGCGCTAGCGGGTCCCTCACTGCAGGAGGGCCCGAGGCGGGGTGGCTCACTGGAGTAATAGTTAACCGGGGTTTGGTGTGCCTTCTTGCCCCGCGCTGGGTCACGTGGCAGGCACGCGTCCTGTGTCCTCGATGTCCGCCAAGGGGTCCGTGACCACTGTCCATCCTGCTGAGGGAGCCTGGGACCCTGGTGCCGAGCACTGAGGGTCAGGGGCCTGGGAGGCTGGAGCAGGACGGGGGCCGCTCAGAATTTGGGGAGTGTTTTCAGCCTCGCGGCCGCCATGGGCTCTCAGGCAGCTCCCGAACTAGCTGCATTGTCAAGACACAGAGGCAGCCGTAGACGTTCTGTGAGTGCATAGAGGTGGTATGCTCCAAAAAGCTTTATTTACAAAAAGCCTCAGTGCTGGGCGTGGGCCCTGGGCCATGGTTTGCTGACCCCACCGTGGGAAACGCCTCAGGGACCCTGGGGTGGACTGCTTGTTCGGCACGTGACCTTGAGAGGATGTCACCAAACTCCCTTCCTGCCCGTCCGTGGGGCTGATGATGTACTGACGGGCCCACTCTGCTCCCGGACAGGCTGGGCGCACAGTGGCTCTTGACTCTGAACGCGAGGCGTGACTCCAGCACACCTGTCTGTGTCTGCATTTGTTAGCAAAATGCATGTTGTGTCCTGATTCCTGGGTCCTGTGGTGTGAAAATGTCCTGTTTGAGTAGGGTGATGGTTGCCAGCGGTCTTCCCGGAACTGGGTCTCAGGAGTCATGTTGCAGGCTGCTGGCTCTGTGGTTTCCTGATGGGGCCTGGCCTCCTGGCTCTTCATGCCCAGTCATGTGAGAAGCCCCCCCCCTTGTGGCCGGGCTTCTTGGGCAGCTTCCGGGGAGGCTGATAACGGAGAGAGTTCAGGGAACACCTGACCGGTGGCCATGGCTTGCGATGCCCCCCGGGAGGCAGCTTCCCCCAGGCTAACTTCCACGTTGAGTGGTTTCAATTAGGGTCACCCACGCTGACCACAGGTGCGGGCTGCCCCCTTAGACCCCCGCATGGGGGGCGGGCAATGTGGTGATACCGGCGGGTGTCTGACACTTTATTTTTGCCACCTGTTCCAGTCAGCTGTCGGCCATGAGTATCAGTCGAAGCTTTCCAAGCACTGCTCGCAGGTCGACTCCGTCCGGGGGTTTGGAGGCAAGTTTGGTGTCCAGGTGGACAGAGTTGATCAGGTGAGTGAAGCGTCCTGGGCAGCTGGCGCCCGGGGAGGGCAAGGAGCCAGTCCTCATAGGTCAGAGCCCACCGCCAGGTGTGTGTGCTCCGGGCCTCTTGACTCCGTGGGACTGCAGGGTGGGTGTCCTGACCACAGGGCTCACAGGGCCCCCCTTTCCAGTTGCTTTGAGATGATTGGCCCTTTAAGAGGCGAGAACAGGGACTTCCCCGGGCGGTGCAGTGGTTAGGACTCCGTACTCTCACTGCCAGGGGCCCGGGTTCGATCCCTGGTCGGGGAACTAGGATCCCACAGGCCGTGTGGCCAAACAGACAAACAGAAGAACAGTCAAGTGTAAGGGTTTTTTTTACTGATTGCTGTAGAAACCCCCATGTTCGTATCTACTCATCGGATGACCCCGGGACAGCCTTAGATTTGTCCAGGGATGCCAGCGGGGACTGTTTACACCCACTGTCCCTGCCTGGACGTCACTGTGACAGGGATCCCCCAAGGGTGTTCAGAGCGGACTGGCAGAGTGCCTCCCGCCTCCCGCGCTGTGCTGAGGGTCCGGTTGCTGCCCCACTGTTCTCGAGTCCCTGGCTCAGGGCCGTCAGCCCCTTTGTTTTATGTCGTAGCATTGGGAGCCTGGGCTTGGGGGTTAGGCCTGGCTGTGTGTGGCCACGGTCCCACGTTTGCCCTTCCCCCGGGCTGCGTGCGTGGTACCCACCTCAGCGCCGGGCCTTGTTCCTGCTGTTCGTGTGGCTCTTGGGGAGCCCATTTGAGAAGCGGGCTGATGGGAGTCGGCCCAGGTCGGTGTCCTGTGGCTGAGCTCGCTCCGAGGGGGTCGGCCACCGGGGGAGGCAGGGAGGGACAGGCCGCTATGCTCGCAGCTTGGCCTGGGCAGCCCCCCCGGCTTCTGTGAGCATTTTATGGGTTACGAATTCAAAACAGCAGGGCTTTGGGTGTTAATGGCTTAGGAAATCAAAGATCAAAAGATAACATGGTTCACGTTTTTTAAAGTGTCCTATGCATCGTGGATCCAGGCATTTAAAACTGCATTTCCCTTTTCTCTGTGACTGCAGTCTGCTGTGGGCTTTGAGTACCAGGGGAAAACTGAGAAACACGCCTCGCAGAAAGGTGAGATGTGAAAGACCCCGGTGATGGGAAGGCAGCCCCGCCTGCTTTTGAAGGGCAGGAGCACGTTGTCACTCGAGGCCTCTTCCTGGGGGCAGGGGTGTCGCCACGGGCAGTTCGCTGCTGTCGCCTTCGGGTGTCTGGTCTCCTGGGTGTGGTGTGACAGTGGGGTCCCTGCCACGCAGCCCACGCAGTGCTGGCATCTCGTGTCCCTGTGCCACCTCCCGCGTGGCAGCAGATGCTGCTTCCCCTCACCCGTGCAGCGTTGCCCCCGGACAGCTCCCTCTGTGACGTGGTCGGCAAAACTAACCTTCCCCTGAGGATGGAAACAGAGCCGTTAAATTACTGACATTTTCAGCGTGTACGTGCATCTTTTAACACGGCGTAGGCTAATCGTTATGAGGTAGTGCTCCCTGGTAAAGCCTTTCTGTAAATGAAAGCCTCTGGGACCCTCGTTCCCTGACCAGGGATCAGACCTGCGCCCCCTGCAGTGGATGCGTGGAGTCTTAAACACTGGACCGCCAGGGAAGTCCCTTGAGGTTTTTTTTTTTTTGCGGTACGCGGGCCTCTCACTGCTGTGGCCTCTCCCGTTGCGGAGCACAGCCTCCGGACGCGCAGGCTCAGCGGCCACGGCTCATGGGCCCAGCCGCTCCGCGGCACGTGGGATCTTCCCGGACCGTCCCCTGCATCGGCAGGCGGACTCTCAACCACTGCACTACCAGGGAAGCCCCCTTGAGGTGTTTTTTGCAAGCTTGTTTACTTCTGCCTCTTGCGGGTCATCCGATGACCCAGGGAAGTAGCTCGGCCTGGGAGTGCTCTAGGCCCCACCGGTCCACCCAGCCCACCTGGCTCGATGTGTTGGAGGGGTCGGGTCTTTTCTAGAAAGACCCGTGCAGCTGCCTAGCTGTCTTTATACACTGACCTTTATTTGAACGGTTACTTCCCGAAGTGGGCCTGCAGCTCACCTCTGCCCTTCAGTAGTCGAAGGGGACCAGACTGCAGAGGCGCATAGACGCGTCCAGCGTCACCCGTGTGTGGCAGCGGGTAGCTTGTTGTACATTTTAAGGTGCGTGCTTGACCTCCTGGTGAGTCTTGCTTCGTCTGACCAAGGTGGCACTTGGCCTGACACACTTTCCTGACCGCTGCCCTGTCTCCCCAGACTACTCGAGCGGTTTCGGTGGCAAGTACGGTGTGCAGTCTGACCGCGTGGACAAGAGCGCCGTGGGCTTCGACTATCAGAGCAAGACGGAGAAGCACGAGTCGCAGAGAGGTGGGCCGCAGCTGCGCCCTGCTGACCGTCAGGCACCCCGGGCCCCGTTGTCTCTCATGCATTCACCGACACACACCCAGGGGACTTCTCCCTGATGCAAATCGGTTTATGTTATATTTATATAATTTTTCTAACTTCAAGTGTTTGGATGTCCCTGTTACTTTCTGGACGGTGTAGGTGGCTTTTCGTATTTCTTTTTCTTTAAAGGTTTATTTATTTATTCATTTTGTTTGTTTTTGGCTGCGTCAGGTCTTAGTTGTGGCACGTGAGCTCTTCGCTGTGGTGCGCGGGCTTCTCTCCAGTTATGGCATTTGGGTTTTCTCTTCTCTAGATGTGGCGCGCAGGCTCCGGGGCACGTGGGCTCTGTAGTTTGCGGCACAAGGACTCTAGTTGAGGCACACGAGCTTAGTTGACCCGCGGCATGTGGGCTCTTAGCTCACTGACCAGGGATTGAACCCACGTCCCCTGCGTTGTAAGGCATATTCTTTACCACTGGACCACCAAGGAAGTCGCGGTTTGTCGTAATTTTGATGACGGCTGAGTCCTCTGTTCCGTGGTCCAGTTAACTGTTCCTCTCTGGAATGTGGAATTTAGGTTATTTCCAATTTTTGATGTTAAAAATTGCCTACAGGGACTTCCCTGGTGGAGTGGTTAAGAACCTGCCTGCCAGTGCAGGGGACACGGGTTCGAGCCCTGGTCCGGGAAGATCCCACATGCCACGGAGCAGCTAAACCTGTGCGCTACAGCTACTGAGCCTGCCCTCTAGAGCCCACGAGGCACAACTACTGAGCCCGCACGCCTAGAGCCCGTGCTCTGCAACAAGAGAAGCCACTGCAAGGAGAAGCCTGTGCACCGCAACCAAGAGTAGCCCCCGCTCGCCGCAACTAGAGAAAGCCCGCACGCAGCAACAAAGACCCAACCCGAAGTAAACCCCAAGACCCAAAAATAAAATAAGTAAATTCATTAAAAAAAAAAAAAATTTGACTGCAGTGAATATTCTGTTATATACATAAGTGATTATTTAAAAGAATAAATTCCTAGCAATGGAGTTGCTGGATCAAAAGACGTTGAATCTAAAATTTTGATAGAGCCTTCTAGATTGTCCTTAGAAGCCATCCTGACTTGCCTTTCACTGTGATGTAAGTGATCAGTTACGGCCCTCTGCCCTCTGAGGTGTGTGTTCATGGAGCTTGACTTAAAGATTCAACCCCCGCTGCAGAGCTCCTGATCTGTTGGTGGTTCTGCATCGCTTGTTTTGTTTGTCCTGCACATGTAAATTATTTGAACATTGGCCAGCTTATAAACTGAGAGCTCACGTACTTTTTAAAACCCCAGATTTTTTTTAAGAAACAAAAATGAAAGCCATCACTGGAAACCCCACTGGCTTGGCATTTCCCCAAGGGGATGGCCGTTGGGCCCGAGGGGCTCCTGTTTGCTGAGGGCGGTGCTTCCCTTACACCTGGCAGGGCCTGCCTGCCCTGAGGCTGCTGGGCCTGCTGCATGGGGTTCCTTGAAACTCTGCCTTCTCTCTCTGCTAGGCACACACCTGTACTCCTTTGCACTGTATGCCCGCTGCCAGCCAGCACCTGCTGTTGGATCCTGTTCATTTTTACCAGATTTTCTCCCCGAGATGCCCTTGAAGAAGAATAAATACGCCTTTGGGCAGTCGGGGAGCAGAAGCCGAAGTGCCGGGAGCAGCCCTAGGCGTTCCGGGAAGGGATTTGATCTCTGCGTGCGTTCTACTCCGTTAATGTGTCCGTGATGGAGTCATGCCTTAGTGTAAAGATAGCAATTTAGTATAATAATAACTTAGCTTTGAGTTGAACTGACATTTCTGGAAGGTAGTTCGTGTTTATCCTGTTCCTTTGGCGGTGCCCCCGGCACAGCTCTGCTAGCTTTGGTTAGGAGGTAGGGTGACCCTCCAAGAGCTTCGCCCTGTGGCTCACCCTGAGTTCAGAAACTTTATGTCACCTGTCGTCTCATGCTGTCTTTTGGGGTGAAGGAGAGGCGCGACAGTTGTTCGTCTGCTCTGTTTGCTGCACTTCGTAGTCCATCATTACATACAAATAACACTTTTAAATGTTTCCTACGTAAGTGATCTTAGAGTGAGCCGCGGAGACTTTAGGTTTGTTTTTTTAAATTGAGTGATCAAAATACTTCCTTAAAGACTGCTGAAATCCACAGCGTGCTCGCTGATCTTGTGACTGGCTTATGAACAGTACTCTTCTTGTTTTCAGATTACTCCAGAGGTTTTGGTGGCAAGTATGGTATCGACAAGGACAAGGTGGATAAGAGCGCGGTCGGCTTTGAGTATCAAGGCAAAACCGAGAAGCACGAGTCCCAGAAAGGTGGCTTCAGTTTTACCTTATTGTCCAGCTAGCAGCTATTAACGTGATAGGTGATAACCAGAACAGAAATGGAAAAACAGAACGTAACCGGGAACAGTTAGGGTGGATGTCTCTTTCTGTTAAACATTGAACTGTAAAACAGAAGATCCAAAAACAGAGCCGTTAAGTAAGAAATCCAGTCCTTAGACCTCCTTTAGCTTGAACACTGCAGCGGCGTGGCTTGTAGCAGGGGCCACGTGTCGCACGTCTGTGTAAGTGGTGAGACCCAATGGCACGTCAGTGCTGTGACACTGCATGCTTCGCGGGTTCCTGTAGGGGGTCCCGTCAGTATTAATCCATGGTGCGGAGATGGTAGATGAGGTTATTTTCCTGACACACTACGAGGCGGTCCTCTTAATGAATGTCATCTGAAGTTTCACCAAAGGTCAGGAAGAGAAAGGATGGTTTAGTGAATTGTGTATGTTGAACTTCACGGAAAACCTGCTTTCTCCCTGTTACGCAGGCTGCCCATTAATACTCGATTATGGCCTTTTATTGTCTACGCAGACTACGTGAAAGGCTTTGGAGGGAAGTTCGGTGTGCAGACAGACAGACAGGACAAGTGTGCCCTTGGCTGGGATCACCAGGAGAAGCTGCATCTGCACGAATCCCAAAAAGGTACGTTCATGCTGGCTGCTCGCCTGCGAGGCCCTTCGAGAAGTTCATTTCTGTTTACAGGTCCACGTGTGCCTGGCCTCACGGTACTTGTGTCGCGGTGCTGTCCTATCTTCAGTGGGGGAGGCATCCTCTGTCCCCACGGCTTTGGAAGGACCCCTCTGCCCGTAGTGATTCCCCCTTCCCCCCTGGGGGGCTGCGGTTGGGTGGGGCAGGGCGCCTGTGCTCGCCTGGGCCCGGAAGCCCCAGCCGCTGCGGCAGTGTTCCTGAGGGACTGCTGCCTGCCGCTCCAGGCGGCCACAGGGGCGGCACGGTGGTCCCAGCCCGAGAGGCGCCCCGTCCCTGGGAGCGTGGCCGCCGGGGCCCCGGGCTTGCAGCCAGCGCGGTGGGGAGCGGGGCTGCCACGTGGCTGTGGGGTGGGCTGTGTGTGTAACGTGTCTCTTTCTTCAAGTGAGCAGAGACGCGTGCTCTTGTCTGCAGCGTGGGCGGGGCCCTGCAGAGAGTCCCGGAGCACGGAGCGGCTTTTCCGAATCGGCTCAAATACAGTTGCTAACCTTTCGGGCCTGGGCCGCGTGTTCAGACGTTGTCTGTCCTTTAACCTTTTGAGCCCTTTGTGACTATTGGTGAGACTGGGAGCTGGCTCTGTCGTCCCCGAGCTCGGCTCAGCCCTTGTTTCCTCCAGGCGACGTGTTTGAGTCTAACCAAACTTGTGTTTCCTCTCGGTTGTTTTCTCCACTGTCACCTGTGGATTTTCAGATTATAAGACTGGTTTCGGAGGCAGATTTGGTGTTCAGTCCGAGAGGCAGGACCCCTGTGCTGTGGGCTTTGATTACAAGGAGAGACTGGCCAAGCACGAGTCCCAGCAAGGCACAGTTGCTCCCCGGCTCCCCCCAGCCCCGCCCAGTGCCGCCACTTCTAGCACAGACTTCAGGGCTCAGCCTCCGAGTCACCCGCTGTCACCTGCAGGGGCACCTGGGCACTTCCAGCCCAGTGCTGTACCGGAGCGGAATTCACTCGCACCCTTTCTTCCCTGTTGACTTTTTTCTCTCCCGTAACCGTTGGGGTGTGTGTCTGGTCAAAGGTGGCGTGAGGTGCAGGTCACTCCAACCCCGTGGCGTGCCTCGCTCCTGGAGTGGGCTGTCTGGTCTCCCGGCGGCCTTCCGCAGCAGTGCTTGCTGTTGCCGGGACTCCTGTGAGTGTCGCGTAGGCCGCCTCCCTGTCTCCGACACCGGGAGAAACGTGTCTGGTTCAGCCCGATCACTGGCCTTGGACCAGGGGCGTGGGGCAGGCGTGTCCACGTGGTTTCTGTGTCTCATTTGTGGTGGTGTTTTTTTGGTTTTTGCTAGTTTTTTTGATGACACCATCTCTGTGTGACTCCTTCACACAGAACTAGACAGTACGTACGCAAAGCTGGAACTCAACAGGAGGTTTCTGGGTGCATATATTGGGAGTCCAGATGGCAAACGTGCTTTTGCTCAGAGCAGTTATCTAATGTCTGTCAAAATTCAGGCTTGATCATTAGAACCGGGACACACAGTTGGCAAAGAGTCGTGTCCTCGTTTTACGGGGCTGAGTTTAGGCGCTCGGCGCCAACGTTCAGGGAGGATCGCCTCGGGCTGACCCGGCAGACGCGTGGACGTGGCGTTGACACTGCGCGGCAGTGCGATTGCCATGTGGACCTGTGTTGCCGCAACATAAGTATTTGGCTGGTAGAAGTTCCGGGAAACTTTTTCTCTTTTAAAAAAGCAAGAGAAAAAAAATAAGTAAAACGAGAGAATCCCTGCACTTGAGCCTCTTTTTAGCACTCAGTAGAGCAGGAGCGCAGAGCAGAGACTGTGCTAGGAGGTGGCGCCCTGCCTGCCACCCGCACCCCTGTCCCCCGGGAGCACGCGGGGAGCATGCCACACCTCTTTCCTGCCTCTCACCTGCCTGCTACTGAGCCCCACGGGTAGAAGCCCAACTCGCAAGCAAAGGCTCATCGTTCCACGTTCTCGTTCTGTTACTCTGGGTGCATTTTCTCGGGCTCTTTCTGGACCTATTTGCATGCGCCTGCTGCCGGCAGCTGGCGGACCTCAGCCCGAGACTAAGTGCTGTGCTGTCACATTGCAGACTACTCCAGAGGCTTCGGTGGGAAATACGGGGTGCAGAAGGACCGGATGGATAAGGTGAGTGCTTCACGTCCAGGGCTCGGTGTTTTCTGCTGAGAGGATCGGGCGTCTGACGCTCTTGGTGGGCAGATGGCTGTTTCCTGGGTGGTCTCTGGTCTCTGGTGGGCGCCTGGCACGTGTTTGCAGAAGCGCGAACGTTTCAGGCAGGCGTGTGTCATCACCGTGGCGGTGCCATTAGCTGACACACGTGCCAGGCTTCGTCCCCTGTGTCACGGGTGTCCTCTCCTGGACCCCTCGAGGCCACGCTGTGAGGCAGTTGCTGTCCCTGTCACGTATTGGGGGCGGTGGGGTCCCTGGCCAGGCAGGCGCAGCGCTGGGCCGCCATCGCGAACGCCTCCCAGACACGTGGCTGTGACCGTACTTGGCAGTGAACCCATCTGGAAACCGAGCTCTTTGGTCACGCTGGCCGCATCGCGGGGCCTGCCGTCTTGGGGAAGGCGGATCCAGAAGGTGCGCGTCGCCGCAGGGGGTCCCCAGAGGCAGGGTGACACGGCTGTGCGGCTCCACGCTCTGCTCTCCCTGGGGTGCCCTAGTCCAGCTGGTCCCTCCTGCTTGGTTTCAGAGTCTCAGCGCGTCAGGTGGTTGGGTTTCTGGTCTAAATTCCAACCGCGTCAGAGGAGCAGACCCACGAGCTGCGTGGAGCGGTCCTCGCTGGGGATTGGGCGTGGTCTGTCTCCCGTCGGTCAGCTGGACCGAGGTTGAGGCTGCCCTGCCCGATCGGTAGTCTGGGCGCCAGGGCCGGTCCCTGTGGAGTTCCCCTTCCATCAGGCTCCCAGCTGACCCCTCGGGGGACCCCATCACGTGACCGCGTGTGGGCCCTGGGAGCGAGCGGCAGGGCACAGGGCTCTGGCCGCGGGGCCGGGAGTGTCCTGAGGGGGTGCGAGTCTGAGCTCGGCTTTGCGGGTGGTGGGAGCTCGCCAGGGAGGACGGGGCCAGTGTGTTTGTGGGCGTGGGGACGGGGACACCGAGGACCTGGCGGGCCTGTGGTCGGTGTTGTGGCAGATACAGAAGGTCTGAGAGAAGCCAGACGAGGCCCGCTGCAGGGGGGCAGGTGGTGAGTGGCTGGTCACGACCCACTTCAGGGAGCCCTGCGGACCCCCGGTGAGGTTTTGTGTTTCATCAGATGGGTTCTGAGCGGCCCTGCAAGGGTTTGACAGGCAAATGACGTGAATAGGACGTGCACCAAGCAGCCTCCCTGCCCCGGGGTGGAGAGTGGATCGCGGGGGAAGCCGCAAGGCTGTGGCCCCTGTTAGGAGGCGGCTTCAGCACTTTGATCGGGGTGCTTCTGGCTCGGCCTGGGGATGGCGGTGGAGGGAGAGAGATGCTTCCTTGAGGCAGCATGGGTGCTGAAGCCCCTGCGCTTAAGGGGTGAGGGGGAGGGCCTCCCGGGTGGATGGTGGGGCTGTCTGCTGAGCTCAGGAACTTGGGGGGAGGGGCACGTCTGGTTGGGCTGCCAGGCGGCGCAGGTAGTTCGGATGGAGGGGGTGGGGGGGTGCCTGCAGACGGAGGTGGAGTTGGGGAGCCTGCAGAGCGGCGAGGGGCCATGGGCCACGCCTGTGGGATGGCAGTGGGCAGGCTGGTCAGAGGAGACTGGGCAGGGCACCTGGCGAGGTGTGGGGAGCCCACAGGGCCCACTGGTGCCGGTCTGAGGGTGGGGAGTTGTGAGGGGCAGGGGCCGTCTCTGCCCTGAGGCGCTGCTGGGGACACCCTGTCTGGGCGAGCCAGGTGGTGGCACTTGGAGTCTGGCAGGGGTCTGGGCTGTGGGAGGGAGGGAGCCGTGGCAGTGGCACGTTTGGGCCATGATCGGGGAGAGCTGGGCACTGGTCAGCCGAGGGGATGGTTCTGTTTTAAGGGGGGAGGAGCCCAGGCAATAGACAGGGAGGTGCAGGGAGACCCTGGGGCGTGGGGGGGTGCGCGGGGTGCCCCTGCGGCCAGCTAGTGGCCTGTGCTGTGCGCTTGGGGAGCCCGGGGCTTAGAAGGGTGAGGCACCTGCCCAGGTCTCAGCCTTGGCGGCAGCATGAGACCATCCCTGGGGATAGGCGGCGCAGGGACTCAGGTCTGACGTAGTCCCCGTGGGTGGTGGAAGCAGGTGCGAGGTTTCTGGCAGGTGAGCCCCAGGAGAGGCCGAGACCTTGAGTTGGTCAGGCTGGACGGTGGGGAGCGGGGAGCTGGGTCCAGGTGGAGGAGGGTGGCCAGCAGGAGAGGGGAAGGCTGTAGTCGGTGGGCAGGTCTTGGTGATGGGGGTGCAGTGTGGTGGGGACCCCGCAGCTGGAAACTAGAGGCTTGGGGTCGTGGTGTTTGCCAGAAGCCTGGGGGCGAAGGCAGAGAGGTGGCTCCGAGCACCATGCTGGAGAGTTGGCCGGACGGGACGGGCAGCGGGTGTGCAGGAGCCACGGCCCGGAAGCTGGGGGGGGCGCTGACCCCTTCCCCGCCGAGGCCGCAGGGCAGGCAGGAGCCTTGTGGGAGAGCCGGTGGGGGCGGGGCCTTAGAGGTTGTTCTGGAAAGAGATGGGGAGGTTTGGGGAGCAGAGGAGGGGGGTGGTCTGGGCAGCCGAGCAGCTACCTCGGAGATGGAGGAGGCAGGAGAAGGGGGCTTTGACGGGAGGGTCGGGGCCGGCCCCCAGGCGTGCCGACCAGAGCCCATGGGGTCACTGCCGCCCTCGTGGAGCTGCCTGCGCCTGAACTTGGTGCGGGCCGTGCGCACTTCCCAAAGCTGCTGCTCGCGGCCGGCCTCAGGGTCAGCCGGTCACAGGCTTCCTTCCACGCATCCTTTCTCACGGTTCCTGTGTCAAGAAAGCAGTGACCGTCCTGAGCCCCTGGCGTGTTTCCCTGGGAGGCGTTTGTGCCCAGCGGCCAGTGCTGCCCTGAGCTGTCAGTCCGCGCCCGTGTCAGCCTTTACGTGGACGGTTGTCGCTGTCCTTTTAGTCTCACAGAGTTGGGTCCCTACAGAACCAAACTAGAGTCGCACTTACTGGGAGAGGTGGACGATCGGGGGGCCTTTGTACGTCCCGGGGTCCTCTCCCAGCACAGCAGAGGCTTCTGGGCTCCCCTGCAAATTCTGTCCGTGGCGAGAGCTTGGGAGGAACACGTGCTTGGTTTATGGTTGTGAAGTGGAGGCACGTGGTAGGGTTTTTGGTTTTTCTGCTTTTTTGAGCAATTTGCTCAAATTTGAGAGGAAGGTGCAGAGATTTCCCGTATACTCCCTACCTCCCCTGCCCCACCCAGTGGTCCATTTGTTACGATCTGTGAACCTACATTGAGCCTACATCGTAGGCACCCAGCGCTGAGGTCGGCTTCAGGGTTCTGTCCTGGGGTGGTTCTGCCGGTTTGCACAGGCGTGTAGTGACTCGTATCTACCACTGTCGATTCCTGCACAGCGGTTTCACTGCCCTAAACATCCTGGCCCTGCCCATTCACCCCCCACTCCCCATAGGTGTGTTTCTTCTCTGACTGACCCGTATGGTCACCAGCCAATGTGTTATCAACACACTTTTCATTCCTCTGTTAATGTGCAGAACAGGTGGGCTCTCTGGTTGGTTCTTTTGGAAGATCTGGGGCAGGCCTTTGTGCAGGGAGAGGAAAGGAAGAAAGAAAAATGAGTTCCTGATCTCCCCTTTCCTGTCCTGGTAGAACGCTTCCACCTTTGAGGACGTTGCCACGGTGGCCTCCACTTATCAGAAGACTGTCCCTGTCGAAGCAGGTAAGTCCCAGCAGACCCCCCGACAGCACCGTGGCTTTTCCCAGCAGACCCCCCGACAGCACCGTGGTTTTTCCCAGCAGACCCCCCGACAGCACCGTGGTTTTTCCCGGGAGAAATTCCACGCTGTGTGGTGTCCCCAGGACAGTGCTGAAGGGGGAACGGAGCTTCGGCAGGAGCAGAAGACGCATTGACGGAGACCGTGGTTGATCTGTGTATTTTGGGGACAGCAGTTGATTACCCGTTTGACGCTGTTCATTCCTGCAGAGGTTCAGAGGCACCTTTCAGACACGGGCGTTGCAGCTCTCTGGCGGCGGGGATCTGTTTTGGCGGGTGCTTCCCAAAGCAGAGCTAGGTTAACTGCACGTCCTCAAGGGCCCTGGGAGGTTCCTGCGGAACCTGCCGCTGCCCCGGCCGTGGCATGTCTGAGCAGCATGTCACCGCGTCTGCATGAGTTCAGGCAGCCCTCTCCTTCCTCACTCGCAGGCGAGGAGCAGGCTGCTCGCAACCCGCCCTTCCGGTGCCTGCTGCGTGCGCGGGCCTCCTGCGGTCCTGGTGTCTGCTGGGGAGCCGTTAAACATGGGCCAGCCTGAGAGAACATCGTTTAGTTGGGGGAATTATCACACGTGATAGAAGTGGTCAGTTAAACGCAGCAAGTGGAGACGACCATTTATTTCCTGTGGACGCCCTGTGGGCCAACAGTCCACACACTCTGGTCTCAGGACACTGGCAGAAATTGCTGAGGCCCCAAAGAACTTTTGTTTACAATGGGTTATGTTTTCTGATCTTTACTGTGTCAGAATTAAAAGAGAGGCGAGAAGAATTTACCATTTTATTAATTCACTTAAACATTTAAAAGCAGTGAAACTATCACGTATTAGCATAGTACTTTTTATGAAAAAAATAACTACATTTTCAAAACCAGAAAGTGCAGAAGAGTAGCATCTCTTTGAATTAAGGTATAGTTTGTTGATTTACAATGTTCGTTTCAGATGTAGAACGTAGTGATTCAGAAGTTTTAGAGATTATCCTCCGTTTACATTTATTATACGATACTGGCTAGGTTCCAGGGTAGCGTTGTGTTACGTTTCTGTGGAATCTCCTCAGTGTCGGCCAGCTGAGCTCTCTCAGCTGCTTCTCACTCCTTCAGTCTCTCATGACACGTTAGGGTGGTGAAGAAAATCTGGACTCCCCAGATAAGCAGTGGGAAAAGGGAAGAGTATTCTACTGGCCGTTTCCGGTCGTATTCTCTGTACCCCAGTCCAGCAGGCAGCCGTCCAGTGGTTTTCTTAAAGGTTGGTCTCTCTTGCGCAGCAAGACTTTGTGACATCATGTCAGGGTCATTGGAGAGTATCGATCACCGAGTCACGCTGATCTTCCACACCCTGGCACCTTTCATTATACAGCGCCCCCCAGGTCACGTTCGGTAACAGTATCAACCTCGTCGCGGAGTCTCTGAGTAAAACCGGGAAATTGTCATACTCATGGCAGTGGACACGGATTTTCCAAAATTCTGATTTTGCTTGAAAGCTTGAGTTTTCCTACTGACAACAAATACTGTAGTTGTTTTTTAACAGGATAGGCTCAGCTCGTTCCTTTCGGAGAAAGGGTCTGGCACGTACCCAAATGGCATAACCGTAGTTTGTCCCTTCCAGGAAAATGATGTTCCAGGAAAAAATCAGTGCGGCCTGCATCTCAGGTAGTTGCACGTGTTTTCCCTGGAGGCCCCATGGCACGTCCACAGGGGCAGTCGCAGTGGGCTCCGCCCTCCCATTTTGTCACACAGAGTGTTAAAAGGGTTGAGATCTACTCACAGTCAGTACCTTCTACTGTTTTATCAAGGGCATCCTTAGGGGGATTTTCTTTCCTTGTGAGTGTCTGGGGGTAAAGAATACAGTGGTGTTCGGAATGTAAGAGCATTGCAGATGCAGGGCTATGCCGTCTTCCCGCTGTGGGTACAGCACACGCAACGGTGAAGGCCGTTCCTGGTGGGGGACTGAGCCGGCAGCCGAGGGGGCGCATCGCCCTCAGCTGGGGTGCCTGCTTCCCGAGGGACAGGCCGCCCTGGCGCGGGCCCGGTCCGGGGGAGATAGTGGTGCCCTGAGTAAATCTCTCCTTCCTCTGCAGTGAGCAGCAAAACCAGTGACATCAGAGCGAATTTTGAAAACCTGGCGAGGGAAAAGGAGCACGAGGACAGGCGGCAGGCGGAGGCGGAGCGGGCGCAGAGGATGGCGAGGCAGCAGCGCGAACAGCAGGCGGCGCGCAGGCAGCTGGACGTGAGTGCGGGCGGCGCCCGGGCCCCCCTCGCGTGTGCGGGGCCGTGTGTCTGGCTCGTTCCTGCATCTGCTGCAGAAGGTGGTCAGTAGAAAGCGTTTTGAACTCGCGCCGAAGGCTGTGCTCTCAGGAACTTAGCCTTCAGCCACACAGACGATCCAGTCTCTTGCCACCAGACACGAGACGGTCGATGTGCCCCGGCTCCAGCCGTGCTGCTCCAGCGCTGGGCGACTGCGGGCCTGTCCTCCCCCGTCAGGCTGGCGGCCCCCGTGCCCTTGGCCCAGCCCCCGTCCACACATCTCCCCCTCAGTCTGTTCCCACCCGTCACTCTCGGGAACCCGCTGTCCCCTTGGGTGGCAGGTTGAGGACACAGAAGGAATCCCCGTGAAGGAGGCCGTCTGCTGGCTCTTGTAGCCCTTGCTTCTGGAGCTCGGGTCGGCAGGTGTTTCTGTGATTCTTTACAAACTGTCTTTGCGCTGGAGAAGGTGCGAGCTGTGAGGGGTGAGAGGAGGGTGTGGACTCGCTCCTTACTAAAACTCTGTAGCTGGACTGACGTCTGATGGCCCGGGTCCCCCTCCGCCACCTACCAGCCGGGCGGCCTGACGCGGATCAGCGTACCGTCCCGCGGCCCACGTTCTTGCCCGTGAAACGGGTGTGGGGGCGCCACGACTCGGGTGGCTAGGAAGTCGAATCTGAAATAACGCGTGTGTTGTTTTGTAGATCGTAACGCTCTATTTAAACCTAAGGACATTTCCTCCTCAAATCAGTGGTTAGGGCTCTGAAGAGCCCGTCGAGGTAGTTAACATGCGACGGGCAGGAAACGCTGGGGCCGGGAATTAAATAAGCCCTGATAACACGTTTTTATCACACGTGGTGAAGTTGGGATGATAGCAAACGTGTATAATGACCACGTACCGTTCCTTAATTGTCAGAAACTGTAAAGCTGTCTCTCCTTTAAGTTTTTAGTTAGGCGCTTGTAAGTTTTTCTTTGCTGCAGACACACACGTGCACACTAGGAGGCATTTTTTCAGATAACTTGGTCTCGTTTTCACATAACGCCTTCCTCGTTTTATGGTTTGGAATTGGACCCCTGCAGTCTGAAAGCTGCAGAAGGGCTGGAGGGCTTGAGAAGAAGGAGACTCTCGGTCGCTGTTGTCCAGCCCCTCTGCCTTTGAGGTTCTCTCGCCGTCCCTTCCGCCGTGTTGTCCCTCGCTGTGTCCAGCCCCTGCCAGCCTCTCCCCGCCCGCCTGTCCCCTGAGTGGCTCCCATCGATCGGCACGGTACCGCTCGCACCAGAGCCCTCTGGGTTGTGAGGTGCTCTCCTGGGGCAGGACACGGCCCGCACGCGTCCGAGCGCTCCCTGTGGCAGGCGGGGCGGCCACGGATGCTCGACCCGCACATTCTCGGGAGCGAGCGTGCCCCCGAGAAGGAACGTCTCTGTTCCCCGCCAGATTGGGGTGTGGAGGGGGGCCGTCACGGGTCCTCGTGCCACTGCGTGGCGGGGGGCAGGCCCGGGTCTCCAGAAGCCCACGCTCAGCCCGGCCTAGGCCTGGCCCCTTCGGGGAATCATGCTGCCTCAGGGATTTAACTCGTGGGCGAGCTGCCAGCGCCGTGAGGACTCGTGACCGTCCTGCTGGTGCGGGTCAGGCAAAGGCACACTGGGGTCCAGAGCCGCGTGGTCTCCGGAGGGGGTGGTTTCCAGTGGGCAGTGCCGCCGCCGGCTGTCAGGCGGCCTGGCAGAGCAGGCGGGGAGCGGGTGGGGACAGTGCGGCTCCTGCGTCTGCTGCTCCCGTCCTGTCCCTGGGCGAGCGACTTCCCTCCCCGGGCCGTCAGGTTCCTGATCAGTGGTGTGGAGAAGGTCCACCTCACAGCTGTCAGCACCGGTTTCCCGGGGCCGCGTGCCGTGGCTTAGGACGGCGCACGGCTACCGCCTCACAGGCTGGAGGCCGGAAGCCCTGGGAGGGGTGACGGGGCTGCTTCCTTCTGGAGGCTGCAGAGGGGAATCGTGTCCTTGCCTTTTTCAGCTTCTACAGCCCCCCCTCCCGTCCCCCCCGCCCCCGCCTTGGCTTGTGGCCCCTTCCAGGCTCTGCTTTGACTGTCTGTCTCCCGCTTGTAAGGACCTGTGATGACGCTGGGTCCACCCGGGTAATCCAGGGTCACCTCCTGTCTCGGGTCCTTACCTTGGTCACGTCTGCAGCCTCTTGCCCTGTAAGGGCACACATTCACAGGACTTTGGGGGTTGGGATGTCAGCACCTGTCCACCGCTGTCCATCCTGTGGCCTCCCCAAGATTCACGTCCGTCCTACGTGCAAAATCCCTTCGCTCTGTTAGAAGGTCCCCGGGGGTCTCAATCCGTTACAGCATCAGCTTGGAGCCCAGGTGACGGTGTGCGGATCAGGTGTGCGGGGGGCACTGCCGCCTCTGGCTGGTTCCGTCAGCCCTGGGGGCAGGACTGCGTGGGCCACCAGGGCCGTGTCTTGAGACAAGACTTGACCGTATGACCTTCGCTGCAGAGCAGACGCTCCCTTGACGCCTCTGCGCCCTGCCTCTGCTCCGTGTTGCCGCTCCTTCCTCCGGCAGCAGCAGCAGTCGCGGGGAGGCCTGCCGACGTGCTGACTGCTGCTGTCTCTGCATTCCAGGAGCAAGCCCGGGCCCAGAAGCCCACACCCCCCGCGTCGCCCACGCCCCAGCCGGCCCACGAGAGGCTGCCTTCGAGCCCCGTCCGCGAGGTTGGTGCTTTTATCCGCTTTGCCTATGAGTCTCTGACGCCCTGGAGACGCCCTTCCCAGCTCAGCACCCCATGGATGGGGTCCCTCCCTGCGCTGCTCGGTGCCCCGAGGGCAGCCCTCCTGAGCGCGGGGGCCGCTCGCTGCCTCGGCTTCTCCGCCGGCCTTCTCACCCGCCCGCTGGCCCCGCTGCGCTCTCCTGAGTCAGCCTCCAAGGGTCAGCCGGTGCCCGGGTCTTTCCCTCACCCACTCCCTGCTGCCCTCGACCCGGACCACACCCCCTTCCAGGACCCTCGTCCCCGCCCGGCCGCCGCCCCGCGGCCCTCCTCCCTTGGCCTCTCTCAAGCACCATGTTCTCCGGAGACTCTGTCCTTGGCCCTTCCTCCTCAGTCTTCAGTCCCCAGGACCTGCTCCTTTGACCCCTGGGTCACTGAGCCGCCTGCCCCCCTCCCCACGGCCGGGTCTCCACAGGCTCTGCGGGCCCCCTTCCCAGAGCAGCTCGGCCCCTGCCGTCCACACCCACCCCCGGCCCAGCCCGAGTCCCCTCTGTCCCACTGTCCCTTTCACCTGGACGTCACCACTTAGAGCTCACTGAGTCACAAGGGACTGAAACTGGCTCAGCTCGGCTGGGGCCTAAAGGGGCTGAGGGTGTGGGAGCACCGTGGGCAGGCCTGGGCCTCGGGGTGGTCCGTAGGCTCACCCCTCTGCCTGGCGGGTGTGGCAGGTATGGCGGGTGCGGTCTTAGGATCTGTAACCCCGTGCAAAGGGGGCCCCTGTGCATCCGCCCATCGGGGCCCACTGCTGGGCCCGTCACTAGCGGCTGGTCCTTTGAGAAGGCTGGAATGACACGTTGTCCTGGGTGGGGCAGGGAGCCCTGCCCAACCACGTGACGGGTGGGGGGTGCTGCTGCGGGAAGATAGGAGGTTAGGGTGTTGCTGGCGGCTGTGTGCAGTGTCCCTGCAGCACCGTCTGGCCCCTCACCCTCCGGTCTGTTCCCTTCACCTCCAGGGGCAATTGCTAGTAGGAGTCCGTCACCTCTTTGTTTAGCCCTGGAGTGGGGCCCGGTGCCCGGCCCAGGTGGAACCCTGCCCTGTGGCCTCTGGAGTAGCGCTCGCGGCCTGCCGCACCCCTCTGTCACCCTCTGTGGGAAGCCGAGGCCTGACCACCGGCTCTCCCTGGGGCTCTCCGTGTGCACCTTCCTTTTCTGACCCGCGAGGGTGCCCTCAGGTGGACCCTGGTCGGAAACGCCGGTTGAAGCCGCTGTTGGTGGTGGATGGTTGGGAACTGGGGTCGCGGCGCAGGTGGCTGTCAGCAGAGCGCTCTTGATGTCCTCTTGCATGGGACTTGTTGGTCACTTCCTCGCCTCACCTCCACGGAGGGTTCGGTGAGGATGGAACCCGCCACCCGCAGGCTCAGATGCCCTAGCCAGTGGGATGGGGTGATGCCGTGGAGCTGCCGGCAGAGGCCCAGGAGGGCTGGGACCCAAAGAGGAAACGGGCCAGACCTGCCCCAGGAAAGTGGGGCTCTCGCAGCTGGCAGGTCTTTGGTGATGGCAGGACTCCCCTATCGGGGGTGTGAAGACGGGCTTGTGAAGGGGAGCCTGGCTCTCGGCACTGCGGGACCCGTTAGGGCCCAGGTGTCTGCGGGGTGTGAGCAGGTGACGCCTCCCCGTGTCTGTCTCGTCTCAGCCGGGGCTGAGAGTGGTCCGCGTGTCTCTCTTGGCCGTGTGGCCGTGGCCGTGACACGGCACGGGCCACGGGAACCGTCTCCTTGACTCTCCCCAGGCCGCGGCTCCGTTCCAGGCCGAGCCGAGCCACACCGGTGAGCCTGAGCCGGTGTACAGCACGGAGGCCACCGAGTACCGGGAGGCCTATGCCCCGGAGGCCGTCTACGAAAGCACGGAGGCCCCGGGCCACTACCAAGCAGGTACACGGGTCTCCTGCATTCCACCCCCCTCTGCTTCTGTTCCCCTGCTGGCCGACCTGCCCCACCTCTGCCATGCTTGCGGGGCTCCTGTCCTCCTGCTGCGGGCCCCGGACCCCAGGGGGCTTGGCCTGGCCTCTCGGGGGGTTCCAGGAGATCCCTGCTTGTGCTCAGGGTGCTGAGAGGGCTGGGCTTGGAGGAAGGGGCTCTTGCTGTTGTTGTATCAGAGTAGAAGCTCGTGAGGTCTTCAGGAAGCCAGAGTACGTTGAGGTCTCTGAAGAGGGAGATTTCTGCGCACTCTGAAGATCTTATGGATGGATGAACACTCAAATTGGTCTTTGATTTCTAGAGATGAGGTTTCCTTTAATGTGTTTGGACAGATTTAACACAAGCCCGTTCTCCCACTTGGAGTGACATGAAAATCAGTATCAGAATCTACACCAGGGCAGGGCTCTCACCTTCCCTGAGCACAGCGTGAGGTGTGGTCAGCCGTCTGCTGCTTGCCATTCATTTGTTCATGATATGACCTTTCCTAAAAGTAGTGCTCAATCTTTAAAATGTAAAAAATGACACCCTGAAAACTGTCAGTGCCTCTATCGAGATCATTTCACGTGGATTCGCTCCTTGGAGCCGATTCCTCCCCTTGGGAGAAGGAGCCCGACGGCCCACGGCGCACCCTCCCGATTCGCGCTCGGCACCCCGCAGCGTCCTCTCCTGACTGGCTCCTCCACCCGGACCTGAGGAAGGGGCGTCTGACGGGAGTGAGAGTGGAGCTCTGCTTCCCCCTCAGACCCTGTTCTGGTTTATTCTAGAGGAGGGTACCTACGGTGAATATGAGAACGATCTTGGAATCACAGCCATCGCCCTCTACGACTACCAGGCTGGTGAGACACCGCCCCGAGGGCTGGAAATGGTGGTGGCGGGGCTTCCAGTCGTTCGTCTCTTCAAAGTCTGACTCTCAGAGCGTTATTTACGATTTTTAAAAAGAATTTATTTTGGAAGAATTTCAAGGTTATAGAAAAGTTGCAGATACAGTCCAAGGAATTCCTGCATCTCCCTCAACCACACTTCATCTGCTCTGGGTTAGGGTTTTGTTTGAAGGGCTCTGCCCTGTCTCTGTGTCCGCACCTGTGTGTGCAAAGCCCCCTTCACAGAGTAGGGGAGACAGTGAACCCTCCACCCCCAGGACCCTGCACCCCCAGAACCCTGCACCCCCATGGAGCTTCCACCCCCAGAACCCTGCACTCCCATGGAGCCTCAGTGGGAGGCCGCCAGCTCGAGGGGCTGCTGGAGGCTTTTCCTCTGGTGGCTGAGCAGGGAACGCCGAGTGTGACCGCTGCCCTCTCTCTGTGCCCTCCTCCCTAGCGGGCGATGATGAGATCTCCTTCGACCCCGACGACATCATCACCAACATCGAGATGATTGACGATGGCTGGTGGCGCGGGCTGTGCAAGGGCAGGTATGGGCTCTTCCCCGCCAACTACGTGGAGCTGAGGCAGTAGGTAGCTGGCCACGCCCTCGCCGTCTGTGGCCACGCCCGCCTTCCGGTGTTTTCTTCAGGGTGCCGAGGGGAGTGTGCACTGCTTTTATATTTAATACTTTGCTGATGCTTTTGAAAATGTTTACGCCACAGAACTTGCTAATATATTGTAATCATGCTCCTTGGAGGACTCGGTGATTGTTTTTATGCATTTAAATTTTTTTTTTTTTTTTTTTTTTTTTTTTCCAAATCAACTGTTCCCTGGAGCCACTTCGGGGACCTTTGGTCCTGAGTGCGTGTTGTCCCTGCCCGCCTCTCGCCCTCCGCTCCAAGAGGTGGGGGCAGGAGTCCCCGCCCAGGGTTTTGGAGGAAGAGGGAGGGCCTAATAGGAAGTTAGAATTGTGGGGCAGTCGCTAGAAAGTACGGGAGCTGTCGGCTCGGTCGGAAAAGCCCCTTGCGCTGTGAAATCCCACAGTCTTTGCTGGGTTTCAGCGAAGACCCCCCCCTTTCTCCGCGGCTCCCTCCTCTTGTCCTCGTTCACTCGCCTCCCCCCGGCCTCCAGGAGGGCTGCTGGGCCCCTGCTCCCGCCCCCGCTTCAGTGTCACCAGTCCCTTAAAGGCTGTCCTCCCGCTGTCCCCAGCCCCGGGCAGCTGGCCTGTGTCCGCCCTGTGGGGAGACAGCCGCTGCTGGGGGAAGGCAGGTCCCTTCCCCATGGTGAACCGCAGAAATGCTTCCCATCAAGGAGGCCGTGCTCTTTTTGCCAAAATATCATGTTAAGTGACAGCAAAATCTGATGGATTGACTTGGCTGAGAACAAGAGGGAGTGCTGTGGCCCGAGACGCTGCCGTGGCCGCTGCGGGGAGCCCTTCCCCCGGGAGGGACCGCGAGGCCCACCCAACTCCCGCACGTGGCCGCGGCAGTGTCCTCCCGGGGGACCACGTGGAAATGTCTCTGGTGTTGGGATGCCAGTGACCATGAGGTACACGTTTTCTTTCCTGAAGTGCATTTGCTTTACCACGATTAGGTCGGGTTTTATATGCAATTCTTGTATCTGAATTTCTGTAGCACACCTCATAGGTATGATTTTTTTAAATTAAATATTCAAAATAAACTTTTTTTGATCCACTTGCTGCTGATTCACTTCATTCTACAGTGGGGGACGGCCTTGCTGTCACCACCCGGCGAGGTAAAGCCTTGTATTTATCAGCTCTGGGCCAACCAGCTTCCCTTTTGAAGAAGCACGCTCCTTAAAAGGCGTTTTTTAGGAGAGGAAATGTTTTAACTCTCGAAATTTGTGCAACGATTCCAAGCAAGACGGAAAATGCTGTGTTTAAAACTCATTTCTGAATTACGGTTTTCAAAATACATCGCGAGGTGATTGCAGTGTAGTCAAAGGTATCATTTTCCTCGCGGGCGCAGCAGTCCGTGTCCAGGAGACAGTGGTGCTGAGCGGAGGAAGGGCAGGCTTCGGTGGTGGGGGGAGAGGGGTTGCAGCCTCCAGGTCAGCCGAGAAGCCCCGGAGGTCGTGGGCGGCAGCAGAGAAGCGTCAGGACTGACACGTCCAGGCCGCCCCGCTCAGTGGTGGTCCGCTCCCAGTTGTGCAGGTTCCTGCTTTGGAGCCTCCGACGGTGAGGGGTGGGGTGTGCTGCGTGCTAACCCGGCTGCCTGGTTTCCAAGGTGGTAGGCAGGGCTCCCCTTGCAGGCAGCTCGTCTGGCGGAACGAGAGCTTCGAAGCTTCTGGAAGATGTGCTCTCCCCAGCCCCCTCTTGAGGACCTTGGCCTGGTGGGCTGCCTAGACCCTCAGGCAGGTGTGGTGGTGACCTTTTGTTTTCAAGCTAAGACTGGAGGACTGTTACAGTGGCGCTCTCTGGAAATTCAGGAATTTGGAAGTCGGCCCTGGCTGCCCCCCATCGTGTTCCTGACTCCCCGGGTCTGGTGGGAGCTGACCTGGGTCACCTGGGAGCTGGGAGCCTGAGTTCCTGGGCTTATTTCCTTCCCACCAGACCCCCCCTGTGGAACCTTCTCGTGGTGCTGAGTTGCCCCATTGAGCCCCTTCAAGCCTGGAGGTAGCACCATTGCCCCCTGGGCACTTCTGCCCCTTGGCCAGCTTTGCTCGCGGGACCCAAGCCTGAGAGGCCCCTCCCCCCACGGCAATGTGTGGGGTCGGATGGGAGGCCCCAGCGCTGGGAGTCGGGCCGCCCTGCCTGCAGCCGCCTGCGGGGGACGCTGTTCCTGAAGAAATGGGGCAGGGAGGTTTCCCCACGACGGGGTGAGGGCAGAACGCGACAAAGGCAGGGGCAGGAAGGCCCCGCTGGCCCAGCGTCTGCCCAGCCTGTCTCCGCCTGTGACCACCTCTTGGCCGTGTCTGTGTGTGTCCTGCTGACCGCAGAGCCTGGCGGGCAGGTGGGGCCTCTCGGGAGAGGAAGGCCTGTTCTGATGCTCTGCGCCCTGGACGTGCCGCGTGGGGCGTGCGCCTGCTTGACTTTACGCTCTGATTTCTTCATCTGAAAAAGGGATTAGAAACAATGTCCTCTCTCCTCCCAGACGGGCTTCAGGGCTCATTCTCCATACTTGGATTTGGAGTGTTTTGCCAGGATACACCTTAAGGATCTGATGGGTAGAGTGTATGCACCTTACCAGTAAGACATAACAATACGTTTTAGGAATTTGTTTTTCCTGAAACATTAGGAGACCCTAATGTTATCCTCTCAGACCCAGGTTTTAAATTCTGTTTTTTTTTTTCCTCCCAATATCCCTTTGGATATTTCTTCTGACCTGTCTGTTCTGCCCTGGGAAGACAAACTCTGCATCTGTGATTGTGAAAATGACAAATGGAAGGGAACGTAGGCAAATAGAAATAGGTTGGCTGAGAAGCTGCTTTTTTCCTGCCCACAATCAGAGTTATAATATTGCTTCTTCAGTGATGTTCAAAACCACCTGAGACAGTTCAGTTGTCATTTGTGAGCTGTAGAGATTTCCCACTAACGTCTGCCGTCTCTAGGTTAACGTCAGCATTTTCTCTGTTGATTAAACCTCCTATTAGAAACGGGAACACCGGGCTTCCCTGGTGGCGCAGTGGTTAAGAGTCCACCTGCCAATGCAGGGGACACGGGTTCGAGCCCTGGTCCGGGAAGATCCCACGTGCCGCAGAGCAGCTAAGCCCGCGTGCCACAACTACTGAGCCTGCGTGCCACAACTACTGAAGCCTGCAGGCCTAGAGCCCGTGCTCCAAGAGAAGTCACCGCAATGAGAAGGCCGCGCACTGCAACAAAGAGTAGCCCCCGCTCACCGCGACTAAAGAAAGCCCGTGTGCAGCAACAAAGACCTAACGCAGCGAAAAATAAATAAAAACGTAAAGAAAAAAAAACAAAGAAA